GTGTGTCGGACCTCTCCCTTCAGTCATATACTGTAATGATGCATTCACTGTGTGTCGGATGTCTCCCTCCTGTAATCTACTGTAATGATGCATTCAATGTGTGTCAGACGTCTCCCTCCTGTCATTTACTGTAATGACACATTCAATGTGTGTCGGACCTCTCACTTCTGTCATTTAATGTAATGATGCATTCGAGGTGTGTTAGACGTCTCCCTCCTTTCATTTACTATAATGATGCATTCAATGTGCGTCAGACGTCTCCCTCCTGTAATTTACTTTAATGATACATTCAATGTATGTTTTTTTCTCTCTCTGTGCTCTGGTGAAGTCAAACATGTCTCCCGGCACTCCGTACTTACGTACGTAATTGATCAACTTCTCCCGACAGAAGTCAGGGTATGGAGGACCCGCTTACCTCGTGGGAAACAAATTGGATTAATGATAACTGTTTTTTTGCTGTTTGGTTGGTGAAATCTGGATTATCTACAAATTCATGTGGAACGTGTCAAAGCTTGGCAGCGCTCAGACTGAATTATGTGCAGCTGCGTCAGAGAGCTGGATGGCAGGCTGTTATCAGGACTGTGGACTCTCTAACAGCACACATGAAGGTGGGAATAATCTTGGCGAAGCTGTGAGCTTGACTTTAAGTAATCATTTTGGCTGTTTGGAGTTTCCATCAGAGGAATATATACCAGCGAGACTTTAAAAGGCAGAAACAGCAATTCACGAGTTCTGCCTGACCTAAACTGTGGCCTTGACGGTGGTCTTATCTCAACTCCTCCTGGCATGTTTAGAAAAAAACAAAGATGCTTTGTCTGTCTCCTCACTCTTCCCTTCCCCAAGGCCATGGACATGTGATGGAACCTCAGCCAAGCTGATGATAACAAACAGCTCTTATCTGGACAATGGCTGAGAGGGGGGGCTCTGGACTATGCTACAACCCTCCCTTAAAATCCAATGTCTTCACTGGCCTATATGTACATGTATCACGTCTATTTTTGTTGCTTTTCTGTGGTAGGTTTTTTTGATGCCTCAAATCATGCCCTGTCTAGGACACGGTGTGAGAGATCTTTTTTTTTTACTGTCTCTCCTCATGTTGTCTTCCCTTTTCTCATCTAAGCAAAAATATTATTCTGAACAAGAATAAGAGGGCTGCGCTATTTATAGTAGCAGCTTCGTGCACTCTGCCCATCTTTCGGACGACTGTACGCACATGTTCTCGTTGTATCTCGATGCAATGATAATAACGTTTATTCTGATTCTGAATGTGTGACGGACCTCTCACATCTGTCATTTACTATAATGATGCATTCATTGTGTGTTGGACTTTCCCTTCAGGCATTTACTGTAATGATAATAATAAGTAATGATGCATTCATTGTGTGTCGGACGTCTCCCTCCTTTCATTTACTACTACTGATGCATTCAATGTCTGTCTGACGTTTCCCTCCTGTTATTTACTATAACGATGCATTCAATGCATGTCGGACGTTTCCCTCCTGTCATTTACTATAATGATGCATTCAATGTGTGTCGGACCTTTCCTTTCAGTCATTTACTGTAATGATGTATTCGAGGTGTGTCAGATGTCTCCCTCCTGTCATTTACTGTAATTATGTCTTGATGCATGCTCAATAATCCAGGTAGAAAAATCCAAAAAAGTTCAATCTGGTCCTCTGGACATTCAAAAAAACAAAA